TCTGTGCTCATAATAATTGTAGTGTAATTTTTGATAAAAAATCTTTTTTGATTAAGGACAAAGCAACGGGGGCAGTGCTTCTGCGAGCTACCAGTAGTGGACCACTTTATCCTATCTGTCTGCCGTCCTCATCACCATTAGTTTTTGCTTCTGTTTTAGCTTCTGGCCCTGTGTGGCACCGTAGATTAGGTCACTGCGGTGATAATATTTTACATTTCTTAAGCGAAAACAATTCTTATGTAGTCATACTCCATTTACTCATGAATGTGTGGCTTGTCGATTAGGAAAATCACAACGTTTGCCTTTTACGGATGCTAGTCATAATTCTGTCTTTCCTCTTCAAATTATTCATTCTGATGTGTGGCAGTCACCCGTGTATTCAAATTTGGGATTCAAGTATTACATGTGTTTTATTGATGATTTTTCTCGTTATACTTGGATTTATCCCGTGTGTCATAAAAGTGAGGTTTTTATGCACTTTAAAAAATTTAAAGCTTTGGTTGAAAATCTTTTTAATCAGAAAATTAAAAATTTTTAAAGTGACGGGGGAGGTGAGTTTGTTAATAATAATATGCAGCAATTTTTTTTCTGCTAATGGCATCTACTTTCAAAAATCTTGCCCTGACACTCCTCAACAAAATGGGGTTGCTGAGCGCAAGCATCGTCATTTACTTGAGTTAACTCGGACCATGCTTCTTGAAGCTTCGGTTCCGAGCAACTATTGGGTTGATGCCATATTCACTGCTGCCTATATTATTAATAGACTACCATCTCCTACCTTAAATGGGTTTTCTCCATACCAAAAACTTTTTAACCGTGTTCCAAATTACTCCTTTAAGCGAGTTTTGGTTGTGCCTGCTATCCAAATTTTCAGCCACCTCAGCTAATAAATTATCACCTCGTTCAGTTCAGTGTGTTTTTATTGGCTATGCATCTGGTTCTAAGGGCTATCGTTGTTTGGATCCTAACACAGGTCGTGTCTATGTTAGCCGTCATGTTAGGTTTCATGAGGACACCTATCCTTTCAAAACCCTCTCGTCTGTTCCATCACGTTCTGTGTCTACTACACCGTCTCCTATGAATCTCACCGATATAACTCTTGACCCATCGGCCCAGTCTATTCCCACAATCACATCCGCACGATCACCACTTCTCCCCTCCCCACCTCGGTCACCCATAATTCCCATAACTCCGCATATACCATCGCCACATACATCCCCGTCCACGCCCACTTCCAGCCCGCCACTATCCCCGGTCTCATCCCGTCACCGGTCCTCGACCCACACAGTCTCGACACCCCCAGCCGACCATGTCTCACCCGAAATATCACCTATGTCTACTACGGTAGTTAACCAGCATCCCATGCAAACCCGGGCTAATTCCGGAATTTTTAAGCCTAAAGCCATTTTTAATTTAAGTACGGTTATTACTTCTGCAGATCCTACCTGTTTTACTAAGACAAATAAACAGTTAAAATGGCGTGAGGCGATGGCTGATGAATTTAATGCACTCGTTAATAATAATACATGGGACTTGGTTCCCTTTGATAGCTCTAAGAATATTGTTGGGTGTAAATGGATTTATAAAACTAAATATCATTCTGATGGATCTTTAGAGCGCCATAAAGCTCGATTAGTTGCACAAGGTTTTAATCAGCAGGCAGGTATTGATTTCTTTGAAACTTTTAGTCCTGTCGTAAAACCCACCACCGTTCGTATTGTACTTACTCTAGCTATTTCTTTTGGGTGGGCTATACGACAACTTGATGTTAAAAATGCCTTCTTACATGGTCATCTAACAGAAGAAGTTTATATGAGTCAGCCCCGTGGTTTTATTCATCCTCAGTTTCCTAATCATATATGTCGTCTGCGCAAGGCCATTTATAGCCTTAAGCAAGCTCCACGGGCCTGGTTTCATAGATTTAGTAGTTTTCTTCTACAACATAATTTCTCATGCAGCAAATCTGACAATTCTTTGTTCATTTACCGCCAGAATAATACTATTATTTATTTATTACTATATGTGGACGATATTATTATTACTGGCAATTCTGAGTCATCTGTTACCCAATTTATTTCAATTATCTCTAAACATTTTCGATTCATGTCATGTGATGTGACTAGGTGATACTGTTAGCCGACCCCAATATCTTTTGGGACTAAGGCTTGGATGTTGTTGTTATATCTCTAAACATTTTGCTATGAAAGACTTGGGTAATCTCCATTATTTCCTGGGGGTTGAGGCTATTCGTTCAGCTAAAGGTATGTTTCTCTCTCAACATAAATATGTTACCGACCTTCTAGCTCGTTTTCATCTTCATTCTGTAAAGCCTGTTCGCACCCCGTTAGCTTCCCGTACCACTCTGTCTCTTTCTGATGGTGAGTTATTGTCTGATTCTACTGAGTATCGCATCATGGTTGGTGCATTACAATATTTAACTTTGACACGACCAGATATTACTTATGCAGTACACTTAGTGTCTCAGTTCATGCATGCTCCTCGTACCACTCATCTTTTTGCAATCAAAAGAATTTTCAGGTACTTGCAGGGAACACGAGATCATGGACTATGGCTTCAACAGTCTTCTCGGCCAACCTGTGTTGTTGCTTACTCTGATGCTGATTGGACAGGTTGTCCTGATAGTTCTCGGTCCACAACAAGTTTTGCTATATTTCTGGGTCCTAATTTGGTTTCTTGGAAGACTAAGAAGCAACCTACTGTTTCCAAGTCCTCCACAGAAGCAGAATATAGGGTCATTGCTTACACAGTACAAGACACACTACATATTCGCTCTGTACTGTTCGAACTTGGGTGGCCAATCACGGAGCCGATACATTTATTATGTGATAATATCTCTGCTTCCTACTTGACTGCAAATCCGGTACAGCATGCTCGTAGTAAACATATTCAGATTGATTATCATTTTGTTCGCGAACGGGTTGCTCATGGAGATCTGATTGTTAAGCATGTTCCTACTCATCTACAGCTGGCAGATATTTTCACTAAAAGTCTCTCTAGTCAACGTTTTCATTTTTTAAAAGACAATTTGCGCGTTGTATCTTCCGCACAGTTTGAGGGGGTGTAATAGAATTATTAGAGGCTTAGTATTGTACTTGACATTAAACTCTCTTTATTATAAATATATCTGCCAGGACTCCTTAGGGAGTAACATTTCCATTATTCTCACATGTTGGACATAAACTTTCATGGAACTTTAAACTTTTTCTAAATTGTTAAGTTTCTTAGTTGTTGTACTTTCATTGCATTTTTGTTTCTTGGGCTCCTTTTCCGTTTTAATAGAATTACTTGTATGACTCCCTACATGTACCTTACAAAATTGGGGTTTTCGTTTTGGGACAAATAAATAGCCGCACGACTTAATACTACGTATAATAAAGAAAGATGTTGCGATATATGGCCAATTTTGTTGATGTTATAGATTTTTTAATGTTATATATTTGAAATAAACTGTCCACGATATCGAAATAATTTGAAAAAAAATGTGTTGATTTTGCTGCTGATATCACATGCAACTCGTCTTAAAAAAGTTGTTTGTGTCACACAGACAAATTGAACTTCAGAAGAGCGTGTACACATAGAGGAATGTACACCGAGAATAATTGTATCATTAAGTGTTTGCCTTCTTTAATTAGTAACTCGAATTTGCATATAATTTGTTCAAAAATGTATGAATTGCCGAAATTGGCCTCTAAACGATATTACATGATTACAAATGAAATTCAATTTTGTCAATGATTGAATTGATTTACTATGAAGTATGAAGCTGTGAAGAACTTGTAAAAAGTACGGACTAAAAATAAGAGATAATAGTCCTAAATAAGACTAAATTAATTCCTAAATGCACAAATAGAACTATGCTATTTATCTTTCCCAAAATAGAACTAAAGTATACTCTATCTTTCTATCATGTTTTAATTTGTAATAAATACAAAAAATAATAAAAAATAATTTACATTAACCAAAAAATCGTAAAAAAATATGAAAAAATTCTATTTTTTTAAATAGCAAGATCATAAAATTACTCCGTATTTTTTTAAAAAACATTAAAACTTTAAAAATAAATAAAAAATAGATAAAAACACCTTAAAAAAGTATAAAAAAATATGGAAACCTTTCCCAGTCTCGGCTACTGCCCAACAACTTTATCTTTGATCGGCTAAAAAAATATATGTAAAAACTGCCATTTTTTCTCTAAAAATGCCATGAAAATGATATTTTTACTCTTGAAAATCCCATTTTTTTTCTCAAAAACTGTCATCAAGATGACATTTCTAACACATGTTGGCATTTTTTAGTGATCAGAGCTGGTGCTGCCGGAAGGTTGCTGAGGCAGCAACATAGACCTGTAGTTTTTTTTAAAGTTATGTTTATATAAAGTTATATTTATTACTTTATATTTAAATTATTAATGAAATATGAATTGCATTAAAACCAAGAAAGAGTAAAATTGGAAAATTAGTCCTATTTAGAAAACTTCTAAACTATAAGAGCTATTACCCGAAATAGGAAAAAAACAGTTTGAAAATTCCAAAATACAAGTGCCATGTTTTTATTCCCAAAATAGGACTAATTACTGTGATATTTTGACAGTACCAGACTTCAAACATGTAAGTATTTTCTAAACATGATAATAATTAGTCATATTTTGAGAATTAAAAACATGACAGTCCTATTTTAAAATTTTTGAAATTTTAAAACTGTTTTAATCGTATTTCGGGAATTTTCCCAAACTATAATCATATTTTGGCAATTAAAATTTATTTAATCCCATTTGGAGAATTCTCCTAAAAGTAAAGGTAAACAGCAGGACGGAGTAGTACCTAGTACGTACGCAATTAAACAAGAAGATGAAGCCTTGAACTTCAACATTCGCGATCCGGATCGCAATCTATAATCAAATCTGTACCGTCAGAAGTTTTTATTCAATCAATGGCTGATACTCGTGTCGGAAAAACACAAAATTTCAAACCCCTCCAAAATCCACAAACTTTCCCGCACTCGAAACCCTTTATATATTACCGGAGCCACCCGATCCAGACACGGCACCACCGGTAGCAATTTCGCAAGCTAAAGTCTAAACACATTCTCCGATCCTCTAGTTTCTCTAATGGCTCGTACCAAGCAGACCGCTCGTAAGTCGACCGGTGGAAAGGCTCCCCGGAAGCAGTTGGCAACCAAAGCCGCCAGGAAATCCGCTCCGGCAACCGGAGGAGTGAAGAAGCCCCACCGTTTTCGCCCAGGAACGGTTGCTCTGAGGGAGATCCGGAAGTACCAGAAATCTACAGAGCTTTTGATCCGAAAGCTCCCCTTCCAGAGACTTGTTCGGGAAATCGCCCAGGATTTCAAGACCGATCTGAGGTTCCAGAGCAGCGCTGTGTCGGCTCTCCAAGAGGCGGCGGAGGCTTACCTAGTTGGACTCTTTGAGGACACAAACCTTTGTGCAATTCATGCTAAGAGGGTTACCATTATGCCCAAGGATATGCAGCTGGCCAGGAGGATTCGCGGAGAGAGGGCCTAATCTTGAGCTTTGAAGTCTAATTTTATGATCTGCTAGGGTTTTGTTACGGTTTGTGGCTTGGTTTGCAAGGTGGTAGTATAAAAATCATGTAAATCTAGTTTATTTGTGCTGGTAACCAACCACCAAGACAGTGTCTGTTCGAAATCTAATTTATCTAAGCAATGCAATTTGCCTCTCGGTTACTTCTCTATATTTCTCCATCAATGATTGTAGTCCTTAACTTTGCTTACAAATTGATTATGCAATTGTTGTAATTTTCTATTAAATGTTTCCCTAGTAAGAACTTTAGATGTTGATGTCTGAAAATGTGATTCTCTTGAACCCAGGTCATGGAATCTGAAGTAACTGAAATTTCATCAATTCATGATAAGAATAGAATTTCAAGTTTACATTTTGCTTGCTGGAATGAGATTCCCAAAATAAACAGTTTATTGTTATTTTGAGTTAGGGGTTCATTGGATTTGAATTAGATGTCACTAGTTCTACCATTTTCCAGAGTTGATTAGATTGTTAATGAACAAATCCTTAGCTGCTACAATCCTGTAAAATACAGAGGCACAAGCAAAACATTGATAAGGCTCGTCTAATTTCCTCAACTGATTGCCAGTTATTTGCCACTTCCTTTTCTGCTTTGATATTTCTGGTGTCTTTCTCTAATTTGTCTGGGGTAGAATGCTATGGTATTTCTAGTGCCTTTCCTCACCTTGACTGGCAGGGATAATGTTGCCTCCGCAAAATTGCCAACTGCTTAAGAGTGGACTGGATACTCATATTTCCCTTCATAAAATCGATCTCAAATGACCTGTCTGCTTTGTGACATTCCAATTTCCATTAGTGAATAGCACCAAAAAACTTTACTGTTTCAACCTAAAATATGGCTGCTATAGGAATTCTCACATTTTGTTTGCCCTCCATGCGTGGGGATAGAGCAATAACAACATTGGATACACTCCATTACTCCAAGATGGAAAATTGTTAAAACTGGCCTGATGAATAATGGAAAACCTAAAATCAAGAAGCTAAAAGTCTAAAACCATTTAACCATATACAGGAAGGGGCGGAGCCAGAGGGTCAGGGTGATCGGCCGATCTCACTGAAAGTCTGAGAGTATAGACCTTTGAAATATCTTATGACTTCTGTAAAATCACCACTATTTAAACATAAAATCATCAAAATTTGATGCATATTATAGATTTATTTTCCCAAATTTTTCGTGTCACGTAAGTATTCACTCAATACTTAGGTAACCCGACTCAGAAACAGAGCAAAGACAATCTATTTTATTGCTACGAGTGTCTATTTATCTAAACTGCATATGAAATATTCAAATCAGACATTGTTTAAAAAATGATTCACCATTTTCGATCTGTATATAAGTTGAGTTTTGACCCCATGAACCATTTTTCTGGCACCACCACTATATACAGGTACAACCTTTTCCAAATTACGAGTAAAAAATACTCCAAGAAATGATTTATTTTAGGAACACTAAGTTTTAAATAGGAGTAAATGACTATCTATTATTAAATCATACTACCATAGTGCCAGTTCAGGAGGGGGAGCACTGTTACAGCGACGATGGAATTGGTTCGTGTGTGTGTGTGTGTGCGTGTGCGCGTGTGCGTGTGTGTGCGTGTGCGTGTGCGCGTGCGCGTGCGTGCGTGCGTGCAAGGAGGAAGATGGCGATGCCTGGTGGCTGGTCGCGAGAGGATACGAAGGTATGTGAGAACAAGAAGAAGGGTATTTTCAGAGCCGGCTTTAGAAGTTCCGAGGCCCCAGGCAAAAAATAGTTAGATTTTATCTGGTGGCCTCTTAGTTTTGGCTTATCAATTTTGTCACCTAGGTTTTTCATCAAACACATAATATTTGACACAGGCTGAATTGAATAGTAATCAAGATATATAAGATAGAAGTTATTTTTCTGACTGAATTGACTGCAGTTACTATAGATGATCGTTTTTGTTATTCTACATACAATCTTTTCTTTATTTCATTAATAAAATATATTTAGAATATAATTTTTCCATAATTCGATGAATTTAGTACATTCAACACTTCAGCCACAACTTTATTAATTTCAACCTAATCATCAATTTTTGGTGTCACCAAACAATCTCAATCTTAATATTTAGAAATCATATTAATGTGATTTCTATATCACAAAAAGTCATAAAAATTGACGAGATAAATTAAATAAGAACACATCATATGAAAAATAGAGGATATTTATTGTTGAAGACTATTTTATTGTGAATCAAGTTTGTCTGTTTTGTCTGTTATAATTTAGATGTTTACTATTTCTGTTCTGCACTGATTGAATATATCTGTTATTATAGTATTCAATATGGGCCAAGTGTTAGGCCCATACTTAGGCGAGAAGCCTCTTTACGCATACCTGAGCCTCGCCTATAAAAGAGGGCGGAGGACTCAGGTTTGCGGTTAACTTTCGTATCTGCTCAAAATAGCCTTAGCGCTTATCATTCTTGTACGAAAGGTTCACGGTATATCAGAGAAGGTTTACACTTGATCTTTCTGTGTTCATCTTTGTTAATAATCTTTTATCTGTATGCCATATTATATTGCTGTTATAGAAAACAGGGACTAACAAATGGTATCAGAGCCGATCGAGAGCTGATCAGAAGAACTATCTGCGAAAGACTCTGTTTTTGTAGAATAACGAGTTTATCATCTGTAATCTTATTTCTGCACCAAATACTGTAAAAGTTATACTGCTAGAATCGCGTTTCAAAGACGATCAAGCAGTATATCTTCCTTTTTCGTTTCCGCATATTTTTGTTCTCTGTAAACTCGCATCCAAGAACTCGCATCCCTCGTTTCTCTAAGCTCTGTGCAGCTTTTTGACCTGAAACTTGGGTGAAAGGATCTCTACAACAAGGGCTACAACCTACCATTTTTGTTTTTCTGAAAATCTGAAGTTTTATTTTTTCAGGAATTCGCAGCCCAAGGTGTCATTGCATAAACTCGCAGCTTCAAACTCGAGTTGAGAAACTCGCTGTCTGCAAACTCGAGCTCAAGAACTCGCAGTCTACAACTCGCAGTCTACAACTCGCAGTCTACAAACTCGCAGTCTGCAAACTCGCAGTCTGACCACGAGTTTTGACCTTGCGAGTTTACACCTCGAGTTTTGGAAACTCGCACTCTTGACCTCGAGTTTATAAACTCGAACTCTCACCTCGAGTTCCCCAGACCTCGAGTTTAGGTCTTTAATACTTAGGAACTCGAGTTCTTGACTTAGTAAATTTTCTGATCTTATTTCTCGAACGGTCAGTTTTCTACAGCTACAGAAATGCTTCTGAATCCAATGCGCAAGGAAACAACAGTACTCCTCCATCTCTGAGGAAAGGGGAGTACCAAATGTGGAGAACTCGTTTCTTGAACTTCCTAGAGCACAAAGAAAACTCCAACGCAATGCTGGAATCACTCCGGGAAGGACCAGCTGTTCTAATGATTGACGTAGGAGGGGACTCAACTAATAATCCACCCATTCCTCCGGAAACAAGACGAAAGAGGCCGTCTGAATACACTGAAGCAGAAAAGCTAAGGCTGAGAGGAGACCTTATGGCCAAAACATACCTCCTCCAAGCCATCCCCAATGAAGTGTACGTGATGATTGACAGTATGCAAACTGCAAAAGAAATGTGGGATGAGATTGAAAAATTACTCCAAGGCACGAGCATAAGCCTAAAAACCAAGAAATCTGCTATTCTAATGGCTTATGACTCGTTCAAGGCTGCTCCTGGAGAACCTCTTCACGAGACTCATGCCAGGCTTGTGAAGCTGATGAATGAAATGAGGAAAATCAAAATATTCAGAACCAACCTGGAACTGAATACTAGATTTCTGTCCAGTCTGCACCCATCTTGGAGTAAAACTGTAAAGGACTTGAGACAACGCATTGACATGGATGAGATTGATCTCTTCACCTTAAATGAGCTGTTAAAGGAGTTTGTCAATGACGTTGTATGCACTGAGGAGCAATCAAACCCAAATCCTCTTGCTCTACTGATGGAAGCTCAGCCCAAAAGAACAGCGAAACCTCTGCAGAAGAAGCAGAAGATAGTGGAGGTTGAATCTGATGAAGATGAAAGTGATGAAGAAGGAACTGATCTTGAAGCTGAGCTTGTAGATCTCCAGAAGAAGATGGCCCTGCTTGCCAAGAAGTTTGCCAAGAGGAACAACTCTTCAAATAAGCTGAGGACCTCTTCCTCCAACTACAAACAAAAGAACCAGGACCAAAGCTCAGCCAGGAAGGCCACATCAACTGCTAACATCTCTGTGTGCTATAACTGCGGGAAGCCTGGACATATCAGCAAAGACTGTCGGCTTCCAAAGAAGAGAGATGCAAACTTCTACAAACAAAAGATTCTGATGAATAAACAAAAGCTCTTCTTGGCACAACAGGAGGAAGTAGAAGCCTCTGGCAAACATGCTGAGCTGGTCCAGTGGGCAGAAGATGATACTGAAGAAGAAGAAGAGGAAGAAAACTTCGCTTTGATGGCAAGGCTGGAGGATGAAGAAGAGAAAAAGGGTGATGCCGCGATCCCCGGAAGTGAATGCTCTACAAGCACTGTAAGTACCTCTAATCACTCTCACACTATCCAAACTCAATCCTTACACAATAAGGACAACCTCATTAAAGAACTGCAGGAGAGATTAGACAATAATTACAGGGTACTGAAACAAAACCTTGACCAAAAATCTTCCTTAAGCGTTCAACTTGAAAATGCCAAAGATCAAATCAAAAAGGTGTCCTCAGACTTTGAAAGCTTTGAACTTAAAATAGCTGAACTGACTAAGAAACTGCAAGACAGCGAAGTTGAGAAAAACACAGCCAAAGCTGACTGTGAATTTTTAAGGAATAAAAGAAGCAACCTTTTAAGCAAAGTAAAGGAACTTGAGGACGTGTGTGTTAGAAGAGGTCAAACCGAACATACAGTTTTTCTAAATCGAATAAGCGACGTTCAGCATTACAACCCAAAAGCTGGTCTTGTCATTTAAAGAAAGTTGACTGCCGCCAGTTGTATGATGCAACTTACTTAACTCTAGACATTGAAAAGAAAATGAAATTTGGAAGTGAAGAAGAAACTGTTAAATCAGCAAGAGGGCATAGACTATGATGAAACGTTTGCACCCGTAGCAAGAATTGAAGCCATCCGCCTTTTTCTTGCATACGCGGCCCACAAGAACTTTACCGTCTTTCAAATGGACGTCAAGACTGCCTTTCTGAATGGAGTCTTGGAAGAAGAAGTCTATGTCGCTCAACCCGAAGGATTTGTAGATCCCAGATATCCCAACCATGTGTACAAGCTGAAGAAAGCTCTGTATGGGCTGAAACAGGCACCAAGAGCCTGGTACGATGCCTTAACCGAATTTCTGGTTGACT